ATTATAAGCTGAAACAAAGACTGATTTTTTTCGATAACAAATTTTTTTGTTCTCTTTACATTTGTTTAAAAAAACCCTTTAAAGTCTCTTCCTTTTTGTACCTCTAAGCATTCTTCTTCCTCCATTCCGACTCTTGAAAAGAGTAAGAAAAAATGAGGAAGCTTTTCTTGTTCGGGTTTCTAGTGGCAGGACTGATTCTGGGGACTGAAGCCAATGGGTTACTTGAGTTCAATGTCACAGATTTAGATCGCATTGAGGAATTAGAGTTTGGTTTCTCCAAATTTAGCTCCAATTACAACCCTTTAATGGTCGGCCTCACACTTATCAGAGGAGCTGGTGCCAAAGGAGCTGGTACTCTCTCACTCTTTTTCTCTGTTATTTTTACTTTATTACATATACACAAATAATGTCTTCTTTTTGTTGTTGTTGTCATTTATAATATATTCAGTGTAATGCCATTCTTGGCATTTTATCTCCCAGATTTGACTTGTGTTTGCATTTTGTTTGATTGTATTCAACAAGTTGCATCTTTTAATAGCTTCTTAGATTTGAGCAGAGTTTTGTAATGAAGAAATCTAAATATAAGTATCACTCGTGTGTCTTAGTTAGTTGCTTTTTACAGTTAGATTCTGTAAGTGCATCTCAAATATGGCTTTAAAACAGCAACAATTTTATATGTCCTGAAAAAATGTGAAAAACAGAAGAGTGTTTGAATCTAAGATCTGTGAAAGATAATTGTGTCTTAATTACAGTTTGTTTGGATGGAACATTGCCTGGATATCACTTGCATCGTGGGCATGGATCCGGAGCCAATAGCTGGCTAATTCAATTAGAGGTTAGCAAAAGAAGATTTGTTTTTTTGGATATATAAATAAAGCTTCTGATTTTAGTCTTATTAGTTTCCATTTGGTTTGACGTGTGTTGAAATTGAAAATGTGAAAAGGGAGGAGGATGGTGTGACAACATTAGGAACTGTGTATACCGAAAGAAGACTCGTCGTGGATCATCTAACTATATGGAGAAACAGATACAGTTTACAGGAATACTTAGCAATAAAGCTCAAGAAAATCCAGGTCCTTTGTCTTCAGGCTTTATCTTCTTTAAGAAACAACCAACACTTTTTTCGACCTTTCTTCGTAATTTCTTTCATTTATATATCAGATTTTTTTAACTGGAATAGAGTCAAGCTTCGTTACTGCGATGGTGGTTCCTTTAGCGGGGATAGTCAGAACAAGGTTTGCATCCATCCTATAGAACATGCTTGTAGAGATCATACAGTTTCATTTTCTTGATTTGATGCTTCTCAGTTGTTCTTTTCATTCGCTTAAAATATGTAATTTTTCAGGCTGCACGGCTTCAGTTCAGAGGAGAGCGGATATGGAGAGCCGCAATGGATGATTTGAAGTCAAAAGGAATGCGAAATGCCAAACAGGTGTTTTCACTTTGTCCTTCCTTGCTTATATATAGTCTTGTATTAACATTCATCAAACGGTTTTCTTAACTTGTTTAATACTCTTCAGGCACTTCTATCTGGATGCTCTGCAGGTGGTCTAGCAGTGATTTTACGCTGTGACGAATTCAGAAACTTGTTTTCAAGAACTACCAAAGTCAAGTGCTTAAGCGATGCAGGCTTGTTCTTGGACACGTAAGTTAAATATTTAACACAATGGTCATGTTTCAGATCAACTTAGTCCATGTTATTGATTGGCTTTTTTCCCGTGATTAAAGGCCTGATGTTTCCGGTGGCCACACAATCAGAAATCTATACAATGGCGTTGTGCAGTTGCAGGTATGATGCTTTTACCCATCTGTATATCATAAACTTTATAATTAGAAAGATTTTTACTTTAAGATTTTGCACTTATCGACATATCGTAATGAATCTGGCAGGGAGTGAGGAACAATCTGCCACATTTATGCACAAATCATCTCAATCCAACCTCTGTAAGCTCTTCCTCTTTTAGTCGAATCGCTTCTCCTTTGTATATCAGCGCAAAAGGCTGACCTGTAAACTCTTTATCTTTGATCCGGGACAGTGTTTCTTCCCTCAAAACTTAATCAGTCAGATGAAAACTCCTCTTTTTATTGTCAATGCAGCATATGATATTTGGCAGGTAAATTCTCTTCTTCTTCTTCTATGTAGAAATTGACTCCATGCATGTTTTATTGAGATTATTAAAAGTAACCATTTCTTTTTACTGAATTGTGGTAACAGATTCAAAGCAGTATCGCTCCGCCAAGTGCAGATCCTAGTGGTTATTGGCATGAATGTAGACTAAACCATGGAAGATGCACTCCCGCACAAATCCGGTTCTTGCAAGGTTGAATCATCTGAAAATTCCAATTTTTTTGTTTTGTTTTTTCATAATAAAATGATTCGACCGCTCACTTGTATGCTGTCATTTGAACAGGATTTAGAGATCAGATGTTGAGAGTTGTGAGTGGATTCTCGAATTCAAGAAAGAATGGTTTGTTTATCAATTCTTGCTTTGCTCATTGCCAAACCGAAAGGCAAGACACTTGGTTTGCCGATGATTCTCCTGTTATCCACAAAAAGGTAACCACTTCTTGCCTTGGATAAACACACATTAAATACAAACGCAAGTAAACAGTATGAGGCCTAGATGGCATTTTGATATAAATAATTCTTTTTGAA